CTCTCCGGGCGGACGCTCTACCACAAGACCACGGAGGCGGTCTTGCCGAGAGTTAAACCGAGGCGTTAGTCCTGATTTCCAGTACGTTTACCACAAAGCTACATGTAGTCCATCGCCACGAAATCGACAGAGGAGAAGGTAAAGCCAGTTGTTTTGATTTTATATATGTTCAGTGCATGCTTCAGCTGTAATAAGATGCCGCAATTCTAGGATCAGAGTTGCATCCCGTTGGCGCAATGAAACCTATGATCGTGGGTTCGAATCCCAGTCTCGCCCTTTTTATGTTCCAGGTATGTCAGCATTATACCCTAGATCGTGGGTTTTACCCTTAATACTTCCGCCTTACGTCTCACACCAAACTGACACGCCGTGATAATAACGTACTAGGGTCCGGAAGCAAGGATGACCAGGTGGTTTACGTATGTGCATAGTTTCGTCCCTTACCTAAGGGCATCTACTTGTCATGGATTCGGATTCCAGAATACCACATGGCCCAGGAGAAATTCGTTCTGCTTGTAGTTGAAAATATTTTTCATAGAAATACTGACTGAAAGTAAGTTCCATACAAGTGCACCAATAATATGATCTTAATAAATGCCTAAATGCAATACATCATGGTCACTACGCTGCACAATTATTTAACAGGTCAATGGATCAGTATACCCTCAAATACATTTGAGTAGTATACAACACATCTGACTGTCGAGAAGGTTTTGTATTCACATTATCATCTTATATATCTGGATATGCATTTGCTGCTGTTGAACAGAGGTATATTCCGAACAAAATGACTTGTCAAACGTCTTACCACACACGATCCAGGGTGATGCTCTTGGAACTCTCATGATTCGGTCTTGCCGGGAAGCCATGCTTTTCCATGATACCTTCATAATATGCGCCAAGTTCCAAAGTTCCAACTGACCTAACTACTCGTTCTTTACGTCCACGGAACTAGTCTGTTCATACGTCATAATATGTGTAAACCGTATTGGTTTATTCACCTTATAATATATCATAACCAAGTGATGTTTTCTGATATTTTATTTTAACTCCCAATCATATCCGTTATACATTCAAACGTAGCATGAGGCCAAAGCATTGTTATTCTCAACGTAATACGAAGAATTCTCTGTTATCCATGAAACAACACGCTCGGCAACTGAGCATGATTTATTATTAAATATCGGAATTCATTTTGGCCCAGTTTCGCTTGTTGGTATTATTGGTTGGGGGAATATAAAAAAAAAAGTTCCTCCCTTATCCCCTTTGTTTTCAAGAAAAAAATAGTGTTAAAAGTCCTACCTTACTCCTCTCTTTCGAGCAAAAATTGCCCAATAAACATGTATTGGTATGCAGCCTTACAGCATCTGTGATGTGTCACTCACCATATCCTCCGATACCTTGGCGGCCAAGTTTGGGGTGGCCACGGTGTCTCCCCAGTACGAATGGAGGGACGCCAAATCCAATACCGGGAATACCAAGACCGAATGGGTGGAATCCATACGGCACGAAGGCGTCTGCTGTCGCAATGACACACAGACAGACCGCTGCGACAACGAAGACCTTCATGTTCTGATTGTGTTCAAGAAAAGGTTGTAATTTATAACTTTCTTTTATACTTTAAAACAATGATCTTGATATGTTGATAACGCTATTCCCATCATAAATACATGTACACACAAAACAAATGGCATCATGCAATTGCATGCAAGCAGAAAATGTACAGTCGAAAATGATTAAATGAGTTTCGCTTCATCCGCAATGCAGCTATACTACGGCGGATTGTTGTGATAAAATATTCGAGTCTTGATGAGGAAAAATCGAGATGATCGCCTTTGGTATGGCGACGCACTGCCAGATAGAGGCACTTTCCACATCTACAATAGTAAATGCCTATTTTCTTACTCAGTGAGAAACATGAGCTACATGTACCTGCACATGAGCCCTGTCTCAAACATCTCGATTCTGCCTATTTTCTTACTCAGTGAGAAACATGAGCTACCTGCACAGGAGCCCTGTCTCAAACATCTCGATTCAGATCAAAATCACTTGATCAAAAAAAAAAATATATAATGTAATTCAAATTAGATCTACTAACATGTAACTGGAATAGACACAGGGTATATGACCTTCAGGTGATGCTGAGAGGGCAGTATCCCAAGCAACCCAGGTTTTTATACCCGTATGTCAACCAACGTTGGCATCATTAATTTTGTTTGTGAACAGCCTTCGTTTATTACATTGAAATATGGTCAACAGTGATGACTACCTGTTATATAATATCTAAGCAACAGTTATTTACAATGTATGTCACGCTGTTGACAGTAAGAAGAACAATGGACAATGACTATGAGTTGCTTCATGTCAAATCAAACCACTACATTTATATGTGTTAATTAACATTTCTTTCATGAGCTGAGATTCCATCGACCTATTGAAAATCGTCCTGCTTGTAGGAGAAGAATGTTGTTGATGATTTTAATTTCTCATTTTTTTTATTATCTTGATAAATAAACATTGCGTTTTCTTTGTCACGCCTATACTCTGTTGACATTTATGGGTTGAATAAGGTAGACACAATTTTATGGATAATAACTTCTTTAATAAGAAGTTGTTATCCATAAAATTGTGTCTACCTTGTCATCCGTCAACTTCTAAGTAATGCCTATCCAACAATTTATGGGTTGAATCATTAATATGGAAGTATTGCTTGAGGTAATTGGAGTATACATTTTAATTAAATGTTCTGTTTTCTCTACATAAATCATTATGTCGATCATGTTTGATAAATAACGTATGTGAACTACATAAAAACGTGACGTGATAATATTCGGATGGGGGCCGTACAATCTCATTATTTCATAGCAGCTCACTTACAGTCAGTCACGTCCTTTTGGATGCATACGTTTATCTTATGCAATGTCAGCTTCTGTTGGAAACACAATTGTTTGAGAATGGGTAATAATATAATGCCACTTTTAGCATTTCTTACTTTAAATTTGTTTTCCTGAAGACTTGGCTATGGTTTTATATAACCTTTATATATCACAACCTTATATGACTGAGAGAGTATGATTAAATGAAACTTTTAGAATTGTTTCTTTTCTTGTTCCCAAAAGACATGGCCACGGTTCTTTATTACTTTTCCATGCCCATTTTTTGTAGTAGGACACATTTTAGAGCGAGTGGGTATGATTTCATGGGATTATAGCAACATTCTAGGTATGTCAATGCCAGGGAAGCGAAGACTTAAATTCGTTAATTACGGAGAGTTGAGCCCTGGTCTTTCCCCTGACGATTTAACCAACAGGCTTTATGTAGGCATATAGCAAAGAAAATTACGCTGACTTCATTCTGGATCAGTCTGGTCTTCAGTTGATCGATTCTACGATTCACAGAACTTCTTCTTTTTTGTTTGGAGAGCTAGCCGGACTGGTACTGTAGCAGATTCTGGTTCTGCTGTTCAGCTTCTAGAAATCTTATCAGCTCAAGGTTGTTGGGATGGGCATTTCAGTTTTCGTGTACATATTTCAGTTTTTGACACTAACCAGGGAGTTAATCCCCTCCTAAAACAACACCACACATCAAAGGCGTACCGGCGGGTCGTCGTCCTGCGAATGGAAAAAATCGAGGGGTCGTCGTCCTGCGAATACCCCATGTCGTCCATCGTCATAATATCAATTGAGAAGCTGAAGCTGATAGTGATTACTTGTGTGTTCGTCGCATTGCTTCATCTGTAACAAGGCGCCATGATTCTATGTTTTATTCATAGTCTTTGTTTCATTGTCTCAATACTGTAAGACCACATGCGCCTTGTACTTGTATTACAGTGTATTGTAGAGTAGCGTCCCTTGTCAATCTAAGACCGACATCACTTCAGGCTTCCTTCCCACATTAAGCTGACAAGCTTTAATGCAACTGTTAAAAGAGGCGTTAAACCACAACTCTCTTACTCACATGGTTGTAGTGCGTATGGATTCAGAATATATTGTCCTTGGAAAAATACTTGTCAAATATTTGCCGTTATGGTCATATTATATGAAATGTTGTCGTGTGTATTCCCGCAATGTTTGGAATAGTTATATGAAAGAAGAATAAAATTTCGTTAAAAAGGAAATATTACAGTAATCATATGTTATATTTTGCTTTTAGCGTTTTTTGCACTGTCCTGTTCCTATGTCGCTGCACTAATTATAAGGGAATGGGAATACCTTAGGGAAAAGATAGACAGGCAGGCAGACAGAGCGTCGGTCAGACAGAGAGACAGGCAGAAGATTACTGGGAAGCTAACATGGATACAAACTGACATTACTCTGTGTTTATGATTCATTAATCTGAAAATGCTAACTCATACGAGTTTTGTGATACGATTCCGTTTGTTTGTTTGTTTTCTCATTCATGATGGAGAGAAAACGACAAATCCATGCAGATAGACGGACGGACTATTTCCATCTCACTCGCAATTACATAGAACATACCTATATCATGAAACATATCCGGTAATTTGCGACCAATCGCCTCGCGATTTATGACAGATGGTAAAACCACTTAGTTATAAAATATAGAGTGTTATAATGCAATTTTGCTGTACATTAAAGGGAGCCTATGCGTGAGGTTGCTGCAGCAGATTTGATACAGAAAAAGTCATGTCGTCATTTGACAAAAGTACTGCAAGTTGTTGACTCGTGGTCAACACATTAAAACCGGGCCATATGTTATAGCACTTCCGTACAATATCTTTACGTAAAACCGTATATAAAGGACAACTCTCCCTTAAGCAAATCATAATATAGATTAATCACCACATCCATGCCACGAGTAACCCACTATAACACATACAAAGATTACTAATCCCTGGTATTTCTAGCTACAAGGGTATCATTTGCCGTGATTCATGAGTGAGCTTAAGGGCAGATTAGGACAATGGTCAATACAGACATTGACCAGTGGGAAAGGGGGCGACGGACATCACTCACACCCGTCCGGCAACAGTAGTTTGACCTGTATATAACACAACGTGACAAGCATTAGACTGATATTGACCCGAAGCTATTTTACACGAAGGTCGCGCATACGCAACGTCTGTAGAACTCTGTAAGTTGACACGCTGTTGTTGAATCGTATACTTTTCAAATGTAATCTTCACACCTTTTACCTTTGTTTCATATTCAATGAACCTATTCCTCGTGTGTCACTTCCAACTGTCTATCAAAACTATATTGTTTCTTAAGTTATTGAAGCTATACTTTAGTTTCTACCTGTACTGTTTACTTGCCGATGACAGGAATGGTGGTATACCATTTTTTGTCGACGCATGTAAACGTGTAGACTAACACTAAGTCTATCAAAATATTGCTTTAAAATAATTGTATTTTTTATCTTCAAGAGAACTTTTCCTCATCTGATATGGGGAATAAATGAAACTAGACTTGGTTTAGTTTATTCTAGACTTGCCTAGGCTTTTAGTTAAATATATATTATATATAAATTCCACAGTCATGGCGCAGGACTAGTAAATAGAATAATCTTGAAACTGAATCATAATCAATGCGAACTAGTACAGAGTTGGAAAATCCTTCTGGAGAGTTCATTTATAGTCACATAGTCACATTGACCTTCACCGACAGTCCATTCCGATTGTCTTTTTCAGATGATGAAGATGAAGGTGACAGTTGTCATGGTCCTGTGTCTGGTTGCCGCATCACACGCCTACATTCTGCGCTACCCTCGTGTGATGTATCCAACCGTCTTATATAGAAGAAACCTGACCCCAGTCAGACCTTCACACGTCCAGGCCACCCCCGGACTCAATTCATTGGATCTCATCGATCAAGGTAATGTTATAACTGTTGAAGATGTGTGATAAGTGGATTGATTGAAGATGGGGTTCGCATTCCAGTGATGTGATTAAGGTTTTACCTACATGTTATATGTATTTAAGATAGGATGTACTTCTTGCCGAATAAATTCTGATGCATTCAGACACTTTAGGAGGAAACGGGTGACCAAGCTGTCCAATGCAGATCAAATGAGTGAGTGGGTTGGGTTTAACGCCGCTTTTAACAGTATTGCAGTCATATCGCGGAGTGTCAGCTTAATGTGGGAGGAAAGCCCGGAGTGATGTAGGTCTCAGACGTTTACCACTTCGGTGAAACCCACGAGCATGGGTATGGTGCTGACAAACCTAGAAACATAATCGGGGCGAACCGGGATTCGAACCCACGATCATAGGTTTCTGGCGTGCCTAAGGGACGCGACTCTGCATCACGGCGCCTTAGACGACTGGGCCACCCATGCCTCCTGCAGATCAATGTGCTATGTTAAGGACATATGCTGTATAGAAACTACAAAGATAAAGACTGTTTTTGGTCTCAATTATTTTCGTATAATATGGATTTCATGAATGGTCCCCATATTCCTATGGGGGTAAATTGTCGTTACGAACTACATATTTTGAAACACAATACGATCCCTTTTCTTACACTGTTAACCGACTTTAAGTGGTCATAACGTGATGGGGACCTCTTTGTACCCGGTTCCCCAAGGGCTTATTTCTGTAAATATAAATCTAAGCAATATAATGTTTACTTGAGTTTATTTCTATTTTAGGTACATATGGTCCCGGCGGAAGTGACTTCAGCGCCGGTCTTGGTCCTGTATCCGTTCCTAACACTGCTGGCGTCGTGTCATGGGTGTAGCAAGACAGTGGCACCATGCCTGTGGCACAGTGTTTTCATTTTGATGCGACATGTATGGCAGCCTGTTCATTTGTGGAGGAATAAAGTCAATTGTAACTTGTTTCTGCTCAATATCCAATTCATGCGTCGCCACAGTTACACTTCCTTACACCGAACGCATACTGTCTATATGTATTTAAAAGCGACAAACAAAATGCAAATATCATAAGAAATCTCAACTAAAAGCAGAATATGAAATGACACCAAAGGCTGGAACTGGAATATTGCCCGACTCACTGAAGGAACATTGTAGGAAACACGTTGACCGTATCGTCCGGATTGGCGGGGTTCCGTTGTACATTTATGCTTATATCGCATCATACCACACCAACTGTTATGTCAACCCTGGTAGTTTGCACGAAAAATGAATAATATTCTCGTATAAAAGTAAAAACTAGCAGATATAAACCGTTATAAGTGACACTTCACACAGCTATCATCCTCGATTATCCAGTGTATAATATCTTCATTCTTTACACTATATACCCTGGACCCAATCGTCACCATACCTTCGTTTTGCAAATTTCAGCAGCCATGGACTTAGAACATCATGCAATACTTATGGTAAATAGCTTTTGACGTTGTTAAACGTATCCAACACGCAAACATGATCAATCACATGATACATGTTGACCTCAGGTACAGTGAAAAAAGTTTTGATCGTAGCCTGTCAGATTCATTTAAGCATTGTAAAGTATACACGTACATAAGGTGGGAGAAACATAATAATTGACAGATTTGATAGCTTGTTCAATGCATTGATCGTTTCAATTTGTTAATACTTACTACTATTATTACCTTCTTAGTGCACAGTGGCATTTTAGTATAACCCTCAACAGACGTTGTTGTCATAATAGATTCAAAACGTATTACAGAAAGGCGGCTTCACAAGAAGGGGAACGATCATAAGATGTAGGAATCATATTGCTTTTGTCTTATTTCATTAGTGAGTGAGTGAGTTGTGGTTAACGCCGCTTTTAACAGTATTCCAGTTATATCGCGGCGTGTCAGCTTAGTGTGGGAGGAAAGCCCGAAGTGATGCAGGTCTCAGACGTTTACCACTTCGGTGAAACCCACGAGCACGGGTATGGTGCTGACAAACCTAGAAACATAATCGGGGCGAACCGGGATTCGAACCCGCAATCATAGGTTTCTGGCGTGCCCAAGGGACGCAACTCTGCACAGCGAATCGCGGCGCCTTAGACGACTGAGCCACCCGTGACCCCTATTTAATTATTTGTGTTCTTGTTGATTGATCGAAAGCATATAAGGCAAGACAAACATAACAATTACATGTTATAATTCAAGTTGTATACATGTTCATGATTGTATTGGTTATTTGTATAATATTATGTTGGTCCACATGTGAAGGGTCTTTTGGCTTGACGAAATTGGCAGTGCTAGCAAGCTTGATTCAAGCACCATTTTGTTCGTCTCCTTGAACAAATTATATTTTGTATATATGTCTATTAGTTAATTAAAAAATATATTTTTTAAATTAGGAGCAATTTGTTAAATTGGCAGCCACAGCAAGCCTAATATATTTGTTTGTCAGCCTAACATTTATGATGCATGGCCTGATCAACCTAATAGTAACGATAACCACAACACACTGACGATGTGTGATTTTTATAACATGTCCATCATTACAACGTCTGGGCCTATACTGAGGTAAACTCAACACTACAGTGCATAGCGCCTTTAAGGAGCATAGTTTCGCTGTTCCTAGAAATCAAGCGATTTCTTGCTGCTGCAAAAACTATTTGCTTTCTCGCTTCCTGAGCCGTATCTTATACGCGGGTGGATAGAGGACAACCCCTTGCTCAAAGGTGCGTGAGTCTGCAGGGGGCAAGGGGCATGACTTGTCCTCAAGTATGTCGAAGTTTTGCAGAATGTTGGCCGCACAGAGGAAGACGCGAAGACGACCCATACCTTCACCAGGACATATGCGCTTCCCAAGGCCGAAGGCGACCACTCTGCAATAACAATACTATAATGGTCAGATCACATTGTAGGTACATGAGTTATGGTCAACTGTGATGACTTATTTATTCTTATTTATGGTTGGTTGTGTAGCATAGGGGGCAAATCGCTCGTCAGAAAGCCATGGGTTCATTGCCCACATTAGTACAATCTTTGAAGCCTTTTTCCGGTTTCACTGGCCTCAATACATATTGAGTGAGTGAGTGAGTTGGGTTTAACGCCGCTTTTAACAGTATTCAAGTTATATCGCGGCGTGTCAGCTTAATGTGGGAGGAAAGCCCGAAGTGATGCAGGTCTTAGACGTTTACCACGTCGGTGAAACCCACGAGCACGGGTATGGTGCTGACAAACCTAAAAAACATAATCGGGGCGAACCGGGATTCGAACCCACAATCATAGGTTTCTGGCGTGCCCAAGGGACGCAACTCTGCACAGCGAATCTCGGCGCCTTTGACGACTGGGCCACCCGTGCCCCCCATTACATAATTTATTGAAGTCTACTGAAAGCACCATGATTGTTAAATACACTGTTTATAGCTACAGGGTTGATGATGTTGAGATAAAGCATCAATTCTATTTTCCAGAATTTTCAAATACAATCAAAATCACTAATAGATTCCTCGATACACTTTCAGTATACAGGTTCACTGTTGCCAATATTTGTTCGATGCTTTTAATGTATATTGGAAAATATGTTCAGAAGGCTGAGAAATGAAAAAAATAATCACATGCACAAAATCTGATTCATTTTCAAATTTCATTTTCAAATATGGAATATAAAGAAGATGGACATAATAATGAAGCGATGCTCTATGTTCAGTGAATGGCGACGATGTTTTGATTTTACTTATTCGTGTCCATGACAGATATAAATTAACCAAAGGAACAGAGTAGGCTATTTTAGTGTCTGGAAATGCTTTTTTTGCTAAGGTGGGAATTTATTAAAATCAATATAATTATTTGTTCTACAAAATAATAGAGAAAATAGAAAATATTGTACTGATAACTGCATGCCCAAACAATGTGTGATTATAAGATTAAGCTTCTTCTTTCAGAGTATGAAAATGTATGCGTTGACGCAGTGACCGAAATTTGTTTCTGATTCAAACTCCCAGGCCCCGCATAACGCTAAATGATCGAACCTTCAGTTTAGTTCAGCTATATGGCGGTATTGGTTGCTTAGATATAATGGTATTACAATATAGTTTTGGATCGATGTTCATGATGTCAAGCACTGGGTTGTCTGGTCCTGATTATGTACGGATCGCCGACGTACTGCTGGAATATTGCTGAGTGTGGCGTTAAACAACAAATAGACTTCCATTAACCACTGTTTCTTACCGGCGACGTTTTTCATCGCTATTGGGAAGCAGTTCGCCGCTGTGGTCAAGGAATCTTTCAGGAATGTAGTCGAATGGTCGTTCCCAGAAGTCTTCGTCGTGATGTATTGACCACATGCTGAATAACACCTGAAGATACAGGAGAGAAAAAAACGTTATATGTATCAGTTTATTCTATAGTTTCATATTCTTGATTGTTGCTGAGTATTCGTTTCCCGTTGATTTACGAATTGGCCTTCACTTGTATTAAGTTTATTGGAGTATGAACCTTCATAGAGTGAGGGCCAAACTGTAAGAACTTCGGAGCTTGCGACGACGTTCATACAAATGTTTGGTCCTCACTCTATGAAGGTTCATACTACAATGAACTCACACAAAGTGAAAGTCAATTCTTGCTGTTTTAACAATTTCTTACCTCAAAGGATCTGGGCCAAGAACTAAACACAATTTTATTTAGTATGTGTGACTTCTTGTTTACACTGACAGATATACAACAACCAGAGAAAGTTCTGTAAAGGACTACCACAGTAAGTCAGTCACAATGATAGCGCGTGGTAATACTTTTACATCAAGTACAAGACGTCAAAATGGCCGACACGATAGCCGTTGTTGTTAATGAACCTGTGGCGGTTACATGTGTTAGTCATCATTGATCAACTGGCCGATCATTGAAAGGTGAATAAAGATGCGTGAAACAGACACAAAGGTAAATTCATAGATTGCTGGAGACGGTCAATGTCAGTCTAGGCACGGATTGAGTCGAAACTACGATAGTTTAGATGTGCATTTCTTCGTTTGTTCATTAAGATAGGCCGTAGCGAGGAAATTCGTGAACAATCATGCAGTCAAGCTATCTGGAGTTTCTCAATGTATACTGAAACGCTGAGACCAAGATTAAAGGTTCTGAATGATCAGAAAGAACGCTTCTGTATGTTTTCGTGTTTTGGAATTCCCAGGGGTTTCCCCAGGAATGTGGAAGTAGTCCGTCAGTGTTTACGTCATTTCAAGAACACGGTCTCATGAAAAACGTATGAACGTCAAATTGTGTCGTTCATACACTTATGAAAGTCAATTTCGCGGTCATGTGACCGACCTCTCGTCCAATGGAAAAGCTGTATATCGTGTAAACGTCAAATTAAAAAAATATTGTATGTTGAACAGAAGTTCGTTAACACCTCTGTGCATCCAGTGCTAAATTGCGCTCGCAATTCTGAAAACGCATGCTTAATGACACTGTTGCACTTTCTGTCACTCCAGAGCGCTATTACGTCATCTATTAAGTCATAACATTCATGAATGACGTCATATACTTGATATATACATATACAATGAGGCCGCCTGATGATCTGAATTCGGAGACAAATCAAGAATATTTCCTGATAATTATATTTGAGTGAGTGAGTGAGTTGGGTTTAACGCCGCTTTTAACAGTATTCAAGTCATATCGCGACGTGTCAGCTTAATGTGGGAGGAAAGCCCGAAGTGATGCATGTCTCAGACGTTAACCACTTCGGTGAAACCAACGAGCCCGGGTATGGTGCTGACAAACCTAGAAACATAATTGGGGCGAACCGGGATTCGAACCCTCAATCATAGGTTTTTGGCGTGCCCAAGGGACGCAACTCTGCACAGCGAATCGCGGCGCCTTAGACGACATGGCCACCCGTGTCCCTAAATATATATGAAACACATGTTATGAATGTAATATTTCTTTCGCCAGGCCAAATGCTAAGTTGGAACATGATTCTGGAACTTATCTATATGCAATAAAAAGTCTAGAAGATTTTCGGCTTCGAATCCCATTGCGGAACACATTCAGTTTAGTTTCATAACGAGTGATAGTGGTAGACGAGTTAAACGCCGTTTTGAACTGCATTTCTGTTAATTCACACAAAATAAGATAGAGTTTAATCTGTCATGATGATACTTGAAGACACATAATCAGAACGAATCTTGGATTTCGAACCTACGATGATAGGTTTCTGGCACGCATAAGGGACGCAACTCCGCAAGGTCCTTGTCCACAATCTGGTCAGTTGCTATTGTTACGTACATAAGTACGTCACTGATAGTGAGTGAGTGAGTGAGTTTGGTTTAACGCCGCTTTTAACAGTATTCCAGTTATACCGCGGCGTGTCAGATCAATATCGGAGGAAAGCCCGAAGTGATGCAGGTCTCAGACGTTTACCACTTCGGTGAAATCCACGAGCATGGATATAGTGCTGACAAACCTAGAAACATAATCGGGGCGAACCGGGATTCGAACCCACAATCATAGGTTTCTGGCGTGCCTAAGGGACGCAATTCTGCACAGCGAATCGCGGCGCCTTAGACGACTGAGCCACCCGTGCCCCCGACATCACTGATATGTCCAAACAACTTTAATACTAAAGTAATAGAGAGCTGATTATATGTACTGACGGTGCCAATCTACAAGTCGTACAGCTATGTAAAATGATCTACCAACAACGCAGTTACAGTCAAAAACGAGTCAATTAATCGATACTGATTTTTCTCTGGCGTTGAATGAGCGAGTGAGTACGGTTTTACGCCGCTTTAAGCAATATTCCAGCAATATCACAGCGGGGACACCAAAAATGGGCTTCACACATTGTACCCATGTAGGGAATCGAACCCAAGTCTTCGATGTGACGAGCGAACGCTTTAACCCCTTTTCTGGCGTTGACGTTAAATGTTTCGCTATGCGAGTATAGTTCATGTGTCATCATTGCTACTTACTGTTGTGTTTTTGGGTATGTGGTAGCCATGGAAGTCAACATCCCGATTTGCAACGTGGGGAAAAGGGAGAGGTAAAGGGCTGTGCACCCTGTAAAACTCTAACAGAGCGGCGCTGGTGTAAGGCAGGCGAACCTTGTCGTCGCCCATGACCACGGTGCCAAGGGGAACAACTCTGCCCATTTCAGCTTGAATTTTCTCCTGCACGTTTCGATGTTTGGCTAAATACAACAATGCGCTGAGCAGCGTCTGTCGTGTTGTTTCCGCAGCTGAAACACAAAGTGTATCAATGAGTTTGTGAAGAATTATCTTTGTACTGCATTTTAGTTGTTGATGTGTTTAAGGAGGAGGGGGCATAGTGATGCAGGAGGAACATGTTTAAACCCCCCAGCCCGCGTAGGCGCTGAAAGATCAAGGACCATAATCGGAGCGAATCTTGCAATGAGTAGCGGATCCTGCGTTGTTAAGGGACGCAATTCTGCAAAGCGAATACTAAGTTATTCCGATATATAATGCCATACTTGTGTTTTACCTGACACACCATGCCATGTCATTATTAAAACCAAGTTATGAAATAAGTTTTATTTATATACGTTTTGACACATCAATTAGTAAGTCTGCGTTGGATGCAAGCCTATATCAAGCAGTAAGAATCAAAGTGGAGAACGACACTATATTACGTTTTACTGATGCTCAAAGATAGCGAACCGTGCATCTGAAGAAACACTTTTTAATCCTTTGTCGGTTTTATCATTTTATCGATTGAAGTCAAATGCGACAATCAGAAAAAATAATATCAATTTATATAAATAGTCTTTCGGCGAAATTAATGTAAACATTATTGAATGTTTAGCTGATAGTGTTTTTGAGATGGTGAACACATCGTGTCATTGGAAAAATTAGATTTATTAAAAATGTAAGTACATTTTGGTAGCCAGGCTTTGCCGCGCGCTATAAGCGAGATACAGTTATATTGAAGAGCGCAATAGCGAGGGGACACTGGTACGGCTGCATTGAATTGTATCAGCAATGTTTGTTTTACAGTCAAGATTAGTCCAATTACATTGACAAGTAAGATTAACATAATGCAAGTTTAACAAGGTTGAATCGTCACCAATGATCGTGTTGATTCGCCGCAGCCAATTGTGAGTAAGGCTTCAGTTCGCTATACACGTCACTAATTGGTGGTATTTGAGCTTGTCGATGATCAGATATCAGTTCGCTATATCCGTTAGTTCGCTGTGGGGAGTTCGTTATGTACGTAAAGTTTATAAGATAATATAAAAGGGATAAATCTGGGATGTTTTAACAGTTCGTTGCATCCGTTTGTTCGCTCTATCCGTGTTCGTTATATCCGTTTTCTCTGTTTGTTGTTTTACGCCGCACTCAGCAATATTCAAGCTATATTACGGCGGTCTGTAAATAACGGAGTCTGGACCAGACAATCCAGTGATTGACATCATGAGCATCGATCCACGCAATTGGGATTCGATGACATGCATCAACCTACTCAGCGAGCCTGACCACCCAATCCCGTTAGTCGCCCCCTACGACAAGCGTGGTCGCTTTTTACGGCAAGCATGGGTTGCTGAAGACCTATTCTACCAATCATATCCGTGCTCTACTGTATAGCCAGACGTATTGTTATATATAGCAATGGACCGCCTCCGTGGTCTAGTGGTAGAGCGTCCGCCCGGAGAGAACCCCGGTCGCGTCATACCAAAAGGCGTTAAAAGATGGTACTTGTTCTTACCCTGTCTGGCGCCCGGCATTAAAGGGCTAAAACAAGGACTGGTCGGCTCGGAGTCAGTATACTGTGTCTGAGGGGGGTATTCATGTTAAACTGCGGCATGGTATCTCAGTGGGCTAGCACTATAAATCGGCATCCGTCCGGCCTAGTACAAGCAGCCACACAAACACACACGTACATGCACGTCGCTATATAAGTGCAATAATCTTGGACGCGACGTTAAACCCCATTTTACCTCACCTCACCTCACCTCACCTCACCATATATAGCAATGGATTACAACCTGCGGCAAGGATATCCATGAGCAGTCCTCTGATGTCGTCCTCAGTCAGCTTGTTCCCTTCCACCTCCATGTTGTCTGACAACAGCTGCCCCACCGTGCTTTCCCCATCAATGTCTCCATTCTGTAAAGAAAATAACGGTTATTTTTTATTAAGATTTGTAGGTGTCGCTCAGTATTCCCTGCCCGGATATTTTACTCAAAACCTAAAATCCTGTCCCCGATCAAAATTATGAACAGTTATTGATTATATTATCTGAGTTAGTTTTTGCACTACTGTTAGCAATATTCCAGCTTTATGACGGCGGGGGACACCAGAAAATAGTTTTATACATTTTTCCCCTGTGGGGAATCGAACCCTGGTCTTTGGTGTGACGACGAACGTTTTAACCACTGGACTACCCCGCCGCGTTTTGTATTTGAAAATTCTAAAAGACAAAGATAATGTGTAACATATGCAAATAACATTTTAAAGGGCGCTTAATAAACATATCTTTCAGATATGATATGCTACTTACCGAATATTCTTTGCGGAACAGTTCGATGATTTCATCGATTTTCACCATAAACTCTCTGTAACACCGACCGGCTTTGTTGGGGAAGTATCGCAAAAAGGGAAACAACTCCATCAGAGTGCTGTTGCCTGGATTGGCCAGATAGCTGAGATGATGCTCTATACTACACACCAGCTTCAGCAGCTTATCATTCGCCTCTCGTCGCCTCCCGGTCAGCTGTGGGAAATGCATCACTTGCATGTACACACCATATTCACAATCAATTCAGGTAACACGGTCATTAGTTAAACTTACAGTGGTGACACAATTATTATGCGAGTGAATTCACGTCTCAATGAAAGCCCTCATATTCAAAGGACGAGGTCGTAAAATGTAGGATAAGGGCCCCTTTGCCCAATTTGACATGATACATTGTGAAAAACAGAAACTGTGTATTTTTATAAGAATATTATCGGACATGTTTATAGGTCTGACAATTAGCCCTTTTGAACTTATGACATTGTACATAAAAATGATTATGAATAAAAAAGTCTGATTGCTTGAAATTTAAAACAAAACATATTTGAGCAATGTTTTAAGAAGAGCCGTATGACGCTCTTTGAAATATTCGTAGAATATGCATGGTCGAAGGTATTTTAAAAGTTGTGTAATGGACACAATTATTTGGAAAGTATTGGAAAGCTGAAATCGTTTTTCGTGCCATAAAGTCTTGTTGGTTGTACTTTGTCACTCTGAATCATTATACAAATAGGACGCCAATTAGGTGGTTTCACTTGTATTGTCAGGTGGGGAAACATGTAGAATAGAACTGACTATTTGACCACTATCTAACGATGTCAAATCATCGATACACCTGAAGCTTATTAAGTTTAACTTCCCGTGTTTTTATTTTACCAATCCAGAGGAAACTATATTTGTAGTTTGGAGAAGAGTTTGAACTTTCCTCTCAACCTTACTGTGGTGAGGGGGTGAGGTGTGTGTCATTCTTCAGTAACTTGGACACATTGAAATGAACATTTACTTGAATGGTTGAACAGTACCCCAATAAAGGCATGTCAAGGAAGAAAGTCAAACAAAGTCATTAGATTGATCCTTTATGCCAGAGGTTATATATAACTGGCCCGGAACTTTCGATTACTCGAGAAAATGAGTGAGTGAGTGAGTTGGGTTTAACGCCGCTTTTAACAGTATTCCAGTCATATCACGGCGTGTCAGCTTAATGTGGGAGGAAAGCCCGAAGTGATGTAGGTCTCAGACGTTTACCACTTGGGTGAAACCCACGAGCACGGGTATGGTGCTGACAAACCTAGAAACATAATCGGGGCGAACCGCAACTATTCAAGAATCATAATCAGGGGGTTCTGGAATTCGAGTGAGTATGGTTGTATGCCGCTTTTAGCAATATTCCAGCAACATCGCGACGGGAGACGGGTCTTCGGCGTGACGAGCGAACGCTTTAAGCACTAGGCAACCACACCGCCCCTGGGAAAAACTGATTATTGCGAAATCGAGAGGACATCGTCACGCGAGTTTTCTGTGACTCAGCGATACAGGGGTCACAGAATTTGACAAGGGACATAGTTTGAATATGTTAGGAGATACTCGTATGAACATTATCTGATTAGGCACGAAACGTTCTGGTCTCGTCCCTGACACGTTGGTCTGTTATCTGTACAAGGTACGTTTATACCCATAGGGTTAGGAATAACCCAGTCCAAAAAAATCATCGTATGTGCACTGGTACAAATATCACTTCACACGCGCCAGTGTATTGTTTACGTCATCCGGACGGCATTGTTGACGTCATTCAAATCATAATAATTTTTTTTATTTGACGTTTACACGATATGCGACATTTCCATTGGACGAGAGATCGGTCACATGACCGCGAAATTGACGTTCATAAGTGTATGCACGACACAATTTGACGTTCATACGTTTTTCACGAGACCGTGTTCTTGAAATGACGTAAACACTGACGGACTACTTCCACATTCCTGGGGAAACCCCTGGGAATTCCCTAGCACGAAAACATACATATTAAACATTATTTCTGATCATTTAGAACCTTTAATCTTGGTCTCAGAATTTTAGTATACATTGAGAAACGTAAGAGAGCTTGACTGCATGATTGTTCACGAATTTCCTCGCTACGGCCAATCCTAATGAGCAAACGAAGAAATGCACATCGAAACTATCGTCAGTATCGACTCGATCTGTGTCTAGGCTGACAGTGATTGTCTCCAGCAATCTACGAATTTACCTTGGTGTCTGTTTGACGCATCTTTAATCACCTTTCAATAATTGGTCAGTTGATCAATGATGACTAACACATGTAACCGCAAAAGGTTCATTAACAACTTCGGAAATCCCCCCGTCACGTTTATCGTGTCGGCCATTTTGACGTCTTGTACTTGATGTAAATGTATTACGACGCGCTGTCATTGTGACTGACTTACTGAGGTAGTTCATTACAGACCTTTCTCATCTAATGTGGATATAATATGAACACATGTGTTGCGTAAGATGTTTCTGAAGAGCAAGTTCTGCATCCATACGCTCATGTCACCTCGTCGCAAGCTCCGACGTTCATACAGTTTGCCCCTCACTCTATGAAGGTTCATACTCCAATGAACTCACACAAAGTGAAGGTCAATTCTTAATTGTGTTGTAAGATCGAAATGACGTTACCCTAGAAACCATGAAGATTGTTGACGTCATTCTACAATTGTGTTTTTCAAAAGCCCCCGTTACACTATCAAAAAACATTTTGACCAAGTTTTTGATAGCGTAACATGCCGTCAAAAACTTTGACAATTGTTTGACGGGACGGGACCGATCCTATTTCTCGTCAAACTTTGATCAAAGTTTAATGACGTTGATTTAATATAATTAGCCAATCAGACTGCAAGGAACATTTACCCTTTTCAACCGGAAGTGCATAGAGTCAAGCCAAAATGAGTCAACTTTTTTGGACGGACGAGATGTTGGAAGAATTAATTGTTTGTTTTAACAACGAACAGCCATTCTCGGGACCAAATATGCCTTTGCCTACCCCGACGCCGCCTTCTCAACATGGCAATATACAAAATACATATGACAACAGCGAACAATTCTTCGTCAGTAGCATCAACCTTGGCAAGATAATTCCAACCCAAACTTTGACGGCCTGTCAAAAACTTTCTTGAGTGTGAACATTGACCAAGTTTTTTATCAAAGTTTTGATCAAAGACTGCAACCGTGATCAGTGCATTTTTCTAAAAGGGGCTAAAACGAATGTAGATATAATGGGTAATAAAGAATTTATAACACTCACATGTGTGTCACACTGATTTTACGATACTCGTGTAAGAATCCATGGAGTACCCTCAATCTCGTTTGGGAAATACAACAATTTTGAAGAAGTCGGAATATTGCTTAAATATGTCTAAAACCCAACTCGTTCACTCACTCACTCACTCACTCACAGCTAACAAAGAGACCATAGAAATTCGGGACCCCACTCAAGTTGAAAATGGGCCTTTGCCAACAATCCCATAGAAACTGTCAGTTCGACAGGTTATAAGTCACACCAAAGTCATTAGATGGACAAAGGCATGCACTGTTGTGTCAGAAAGGAAAGCCCCGTGTTTGAAAACGCTTACACACAGAAATGCGATCCACCTGTATATAACGCCTTAGAAATCGTTGACAGGATAATTGCATCGACCTTCAAATGTGATTGTCAGGTCTGGAGCTTACGAAGAAGACACACACAAAAGCATCACAGGATGTTTTGTTAAAGTGTGTTACACACAAACTTTAGAATGCCAAATGTAGTGTTTTTGGTGAGTATGGAACTGATACACACTGAAACATAATTCTGGGCGCTCTGATCAGGCATATAAGAACATTTCTACTAGTTAAATATACGACGATGTGTCTACGTAACTGTCTCTCCCCCCTCCCCGTACATGTGTCTACGTAACTGTCTCTCTCCCTGTACATGTGTCTACGTAAGTGTCTCTCTCCCTGTACATGTGTCTACGTAACTGTCTCTCCCCCCTCCCCGTACATGTGTCTACGTAACTGTCTCTCTCCCTGTACATGTGTCTACGTAACTGTCTCTCTCCCTGTACATGTGTCTACGTAACTGTCTCTCTCCCTGTACATGTGTCTACGTAACTGTCTCTCTCCCTGTACATGTGTCTACGTAACTGTCTCTCTCCCTGTACATGTGTCTACGTAAGTGTCTCCCCCTGTACATGTGTCTACGTAACTGTCTCCCCCCCCCCCCCCCCCCCCTGTCCATGTGTGTATGTAACTGTCTCTCTCCATGTACATGTGTGTATGTAACTGTTTCCTCCTGTACATGTGTCTACGTAACTGTCTCTCTCCCTGTACATGTGTCTACGTAACTGTCTCCCCCTGTACATGTGTCTACGTAACTGTCTCCCCCCCCCCCCCCCCCCCTGTCCATGTGTGTATGTAACTGTCTCTCTCCATGTACATGTGTGTATGTAACTGTTTCCTCCTGTACATGTGTCTACGTAACTGTCTCTCTCCATGTACATGTGTCTACGTAACTGTCTCTCTCCATGTACATGTGTCTACGTAACTGTCTCCCCCTGTACATGTGTCTACGTAACTGTCTACCCCTGTACATGTGTGTATGTAACTGTTTCCTCCTGTACATGTGTCTACGTAACTGTCTCCCCCTGTACATGTGTGTATGTAACTGTCTCTCTCCCTGTACATGTGTGTATGTAACTGTCTCCTCCTGTACATGTGTGTACGTAACTGTCTCCCTCCCTGTTCATGTGTCTACGTAACTGTATCCCCCTGTACATGTGTGTACGTAACTGTTTCTCTCCCTGTACATGTGTGTATGTAACTGTCTCTCTCCATGTACATGTGTGTACGTAACTGTCTCCCTCCCTGTTCATGTGTCTACGTAACTGTATCCCCCTGTACATGTGTGTACGTAACTGTTTCTCTCCCTGTACATGTGTGTATGTAACTGTCTCTCTCCATGTACATGTGTGTACGTAACTGTCTCTCTCCCTGTACATGTGTGTACGTAACTGTCTCCCTCCCTGTACATGTGTGTACGTAACTGTCTCTCTCCCTGTACATGTGTGTACGTAACTGTCTCCCTCCCTGTACATGTGTCTACGTAACTGTTTCTCTCCCTGTACATGTGTGTACGTAACTGTCTCTCTCCATGTACATGTGTGTACGTAACTGTCTCTCTCCCTGTACATGTGTGTACGTAACTGTCTCCCTCCCTGTACATGTGTGTACTTGACTGTCTCCCTTCCTGTACACGTCTGTACGTGACTGTCTCCCTTCCTGTACATGTGTCTACGTGACTGTCTCTCTCCCGGTATATGTGTTTACGTGACTGTGTCTCCCGGCAAGTGTGTACATGTTTCTCGCCCTGGGTGCCGTTGTACAAAGCGATCTTAGCGCCAAGGTGATCGTAACTCCCATACCTTAACATAGACTTACGACAGTCGTAGCGCTAAGGTTGTTTTGTACAACGGCACCCTGTACATTTGTTTACCTACGTATTATTGTGTAGTCCATGTACGGGTACACGTTTTCGTATATTTGCATGTTCTTTGTACGTGGGTGTCATTTCGTGTACCCTGTACACGCGTACGTGACTGTCTTGTAAAGGGCTGCACGTGCCGCTCATCAGCTACGGATTGCGAGTGTGATAGACCATAACGATCTATCGAGCATTCTTTGTACGGCATGTGACTAAAGGCCCGGTTTGACAATGAATATGTTAAATGTAAGGACAACAACCGAAGCGTTAACTTCGCTTTACCACATGCGTCGCTGGTTTGAGTGCCCAACCCAAAGCAGGTTCAGAGATCAGCTTGACATGGCCCTATGCGCAAAATAGCACACACAAGCAGTTACAACAACGCAGCTCGAGACGAAATCCACGCAGTCTATTTGAACAGTAAACACGCCAGTCTCCTGAGAGCAGGTGGAACTCCAACGAATCCCTCTCTGTTGAACAAGTTACACATAATCAACTTTCCCATGATCACTGTCAATACGTGAACGGGAATCTCACACTGAGGTCACAGCAACGAATTGCCCTGGAAAGAACAGTCGAGTCATCGAGAAAACCACTTGTTTTTACATGTGGAATAGCTGTGTTTAAAACGCACCTGCGTGTGAATATCGCGGAATTTGAAGCCCTACAAAATGAGGTATTGATTATAGCAGCTCGGTATCTTTGAGTTAGTTGGACATGCTGTTTTCCACACAACATATATGTAGTTTAATTAAATCTGCACACATATTTCTCTACCTCCGACCAGTGAGTCTATATATAATGGATTTCTCATTTTTCTTACTCGGGAAATGGCTATCGCCCAAGGACGTGAGAGATATTTAGGCCAGTTAAATACTACGTACATTTTATTGCAACTTAAAATTATTGCTTACAGAAAGATATTCTCGAGTTAGTTATATTCCCCCTTGTTCTAAATCACCATCCCCGTGCTCGTGGGTTTCACCCGAGTGGTAAACGTCTGAGACCTGCATCACTTCGGGCTTTCCTCCCACATTAAGCTGACACGCCGCGATTTAACTGGAATACTGTTAAAAGCGGCGTTAAACCCAACTCACTCACTCACTCCTACCTACAATGAATGATATGAGACTGTATACAATAAGATGATAAGTTAGAAAAATACTTCTTCCACATTTGAGAAAGACTTTAGCTAATAACATTTACATTTGGACCTCGCATTTACACTTCATTATAGAAAAGGAAAACAATTAAAATAAATCGTGCTCTGATCGAGATTTGGTCGCGACCGAATAGTTCTTATAAGGTACGAATGATGAGACCTTTGGTTTTAAGTGTAGTTTATTTGTGCATGGGTTATTCCTATAATTAATATGATCTGTCAAGTTATGAACATTGATGTTAGTTTTGATCAAAGAAGGATTAATCTGGGTTTCCTTTACCAATCGAGATTCACTGTAAAACGGTGATACACGAACCTTTGTAAAATAAATCTGGATTAGATTAAACGTTAATCCTCTCTTGTTTAAGGGATTATTAAGGGATACGGCTCAATGACTCCTATGTCAACTATGGGGGCAAGCAAAGAGGGAACCCCCCTACCCCATCCAACCCTAACCCTACCCCCCCCCCCCCCCCCCCTCCCCCCTTTCTTGTAGATGAAATATGTATAACCTTTTTGAGGACGAAGACCATCTCCTTCTTCATCAATTTACAAAAGCCTTTTGAAAAGCTTTTTTCGGTATCCAGCCATTTATGACACAATGAATAACGTATACACCGATAACGTATTCAGCCTTTCGTTATGGACAACCGCGATCTTCTATTCACAATGGATATCACAGCAAGAACTCGCCACATGAAGAATTTCTATCCACCCCATTGTGATATCGAATCAGAACACATCTGATGTACTACATGTAAATTTTTATATTCACATTATCACTGTTGAGTGGACCGTGAAGACCCGAGGAGAGAACAGGTCTTCAGCAGCCCATGTTTGACGTGATAGGCGACAAACGGGATCGGGTGGTCAGTCTCGCTGACTTCATTGATGCATGTCATCGTATCCCAATTGCGTGGATCGATGCTCATGATGCCAATCACTGGATTGTCTGGTCCAGACTCGATTATGTACATACAGCCGTGGTATAGCTGGAGTATTGCTGAGTGCGGCGTTGACAACAAACAAACATGATTGAGTGAGTGAATGTATGTTGTTTAACGCCGCAGATGACGTTGACGTGTATGATGACACACAGTCAGAATCATGGTCCTAGGTCCGCTCTAATGTTAATTATATATATATTGTGTGGCCATTCTGACCCAGAATCTCCTTAATGATCACCTTGTGCTTCCATGCCCAGGTGGACTGTACATTTGACTTGGAATGCTGTTTCTAATGTGAATGAAATTATGTACAGTAAACTACGTTTATAACGAACACGCTTAAAACAAACTGACCTATATAACGAACTTTTTTTAGGCCAGACCATTTGTGGTATAAATGCTGTATGTATGCTTATAACGAACTACGGTTATTACGAACTAAAATGAGCGGTCCCTTCGAGTTCGTTATAAGCGTAGTTTACTGTAGTTCCCTGCTCTGTATCAGGATTACAGCAAATACCACAACAGTTTGTTGAAGGCATGATGTGTATACTTAAATACAACAGCAATTGTGCTATTATTAATGATATGATGATTATTTATAAGAATAAACAAATTCAAAATTGAAAATTCAAATTCTTTCTATCATTTTTGTGCTCTTTTAACAGGTTTATGTATAATATAGAAACCTGGTTATTTTCGTTTCCCAATCGAGATTTACAAAGGGAATGATAACTGAAGTGAAACTTTCAAAACGCACTCAACGGTACCAAGCTATCGGGGTCAGTCTTGACAGGCGGTCTATCGTGTACACAGAACATTTATCAATATGGACAGCTATATACAGTGAACCTTATTAATCCGGATGATACTGTTCAGTGAAATTATTCGGATTAACAGATGTCCGGATTAGCGAAACATAGGTTAATTGTTATGTCCTTCTTGTTCAATGTAGGTCACCCCGATTATCCAGTGTATTCATTAAATATCCATATTATTATAATAAAAAACTTGACGCATACACCGCCATAACCTCGTTTTGAGCCCGATCTGTACAGCGCTAAATTAACCATCCAAAGAACTCGCATGAGCGAGAGAGTATCTGTGTCATAGGAGAGAGAGAGAGGGAGAGAGAGAGAGAGAGAGAGAGAGAGAGAGAGTGACGTCACTTCCCAAACGAACCTATGATGCTAAATGGGTATTTATCGCAATAGAATGGCGATAACACCCTAAATAATCGAGGAAGTAGGTGGGTATTCCAAACGGGCATCAGCCGGTACCGGGGTACGGTACTAATTGGACATAAACTAAAGTGGTTTCATTTAAGTAAACATCATCGTAATTATTATGATATTTCAGCTATGAATAATAACTATTTTTTTAATTAATTAGTTATATGATCACAGTTAGTTTGGATAATCAACTACCGGACAAAACACAAGTATACAGTTGAACATCCCCACTTCCCTCTGCTGGTTAATGTGCTCTATGAAATTGTGCCCCCTTGTTCCTTGAGATGTGCTGTGCACGTCGCCTGTTGTGAAATATACCAATCAAAACAAGTTAAGGATCACACAATTCTTTTATATTATTATAGTCATGACATATGAACTCTAGTAATATAAAATAACCGGGTGATCCTCAACTATTTTTGAGTAGTATACATGTAATCTCGCCTATGATACCCGTCCCAAATTCCCCACCATGGAATCGACCATTTCTTGTTTGTTTCATTTTTAGCGAGCACCAAACATGGACGTACACTTTCCTAAGCCCGACAGTTTAGTATTTTGGAGGTGAGGTGAATGGGGTTTAACGTCGCGTCCAAGATTATTGCATTTATGTAGCGACGTGTATGTACGTGTGTGTTTGTGTGGCTGCTTGTACCAGTCCGGACTGATGCCGATTTATAGTGCTAGCTCACTGAGAAACCATGCCGCAGTTTAACATGAATACCCCACTCAGACACAGTATACTGACTCCGAGCCGACCAGTCCTTGTTTTAGCCCCTTAATGCCGAGCGCCAGACAGGGTAAGAACAAGTACCATCTTTTAACGTCTTTTGGTATGACGCGGCCGGGGATCGAACCCCGGACCTTCCGCTCTCCGGGCGGACGCTCTACCACAAGACCACGGAGGCGGTCTAGTATTATAATATAAGAAATGGCAAAGGGATACTCACAAGTGTTAGCATGGTGTTGGTGATATAAATGTAAATGTCGTGTTTAGGATCAAAGGCATCAGTCCCGTGTGCTTGGAATCTTTCTATCAGATGGTCAATTTCCATGTAGATAGTATCTTTCGATGTGGACTCTAGAACATAAAAACATATATTGAATGCGTTGAGTTTAACGTCGTGTATAAACAGTATTTCAATTGTAACACTTTCTGTTATGGAGGAAATTGTTCAAACAAAAGTATTGGCACAGATATGACACAGAGGTGCGCACTGACCATAATCAGGGCGAATCTGGGATTCGAACTCATGAACTCCGGATCCTGATACGCAGTGCAAACCCTGAAACAAATCTCATCGACGTTGCTTTTGACTCACGGAGACCGTTGATCGACCGTGTGTGTGTGTGTGTGTGTGTGTGTGTGTGTGTGTGTGTGTGTGTGTGTGTGTGTGTGTGGTGTGGTGTGGTGTGGTGTGGTGTGGTGTGGTGTGTGTGTGTGTGTGTGTGTGTATGTGTGTGGTGTGGTGGTGGTGGTGGTGTGGTGTGGTGTGTGTGTGTGTGTGTGTGTGTGTGTGTGTGTGTGTGTGTGTGTGTGTGTGTGTGTGTGTGTGTGTGTGTGTGTGTGTGGTGTGGTGTGGTGTGTGTGTGGTGTGGTGTGTGTGTGGTGTGGTGTGGTGTGGTGTGGTGTGGTGTGTGTGTGTGTGTGTGTGTGGCTACTTATACTAGGTCGGGCGTTTTTCGCTTTTATAGTGCTAGTTCACTGCGAAACCATGCCACAGTTTAACATGGCGACCCTACTCGGACACATAATCTCCTGCCTCCAGGAACAGTCCTTGTTTTATCTCGTAACAGCTTAGGCCTTACTTGGGCCCAACAAACTTATTACGACGCGTGTGTGTGTGGTTGGTGTGTGTGCGTGCGTGCGTGCGTGCGTGCGTGCGTGCGCACGTGTATGGTTGGTGTGTGTGCGTGCCTGCGTGCGCACGTGTGTTGTTGGTGTGTGGTGTGGTGTGGTGTGGTGTGGTGTGGTGTTAGGTGTGTGTGTGTGTGTGTGTGTGTGTACGTGTGTGTGTGTACGTGCGTGCGTGCGTGTGTGCGCACGTGTGTTGTTGGTGTGTGTGTATGGATGATCCAACAAGTCAAGCATCAAGCACATTTTTTTTTATTCATGAATCTTTATCCTGTATTTATCCTTCCCGTCCCTTCTCAGATCATAGAATATCAGACTATCAACCGATCGTCACCTTACACGATAGATAAAGCTTCAAAATATCACCAGACACATTGTGAGGTCCTCGCACACTCTCCATGATAACTGTGAGACCTGTTAGTATTAATTACATATTCTGATAAGTGTGAGACAGATATGAGATCATTGAAGCATCAGCAGCTGGAGTCTGACATGGACGCGACCTGAGGGGTGTGCCTTACCATCTAATCATCAACTGTGTACATACATGCATATCACAAGTCCCGCCCCAAGTTCTCGGTTCGAAACGAGGTAACGGAGTTCTCTTTCTCCTCTACTAACAAACATACCGCATTGAACTAATAAATGGACTGCTAGCTGAATTCGACAGTTCGAGATAAAGGGTTCGACAAAACTAGAGTCAAGCTTAAAATACACATGAATTGAATATGACCTGCAGACAGAAACAAGAAGCCAAGAGGAATCTGACGGCCCGGTTATACTTATAATCCTTGTGTGACGTCCTGTAAGCATATAACTCAACTCCACTTAAACCTTGAAAACGCAAAGATGCTTAATTGTGTTGAACGTCGATCTACTGGAGCAACTTTTTTTCTTTTTTTATATACATATATATATGTTGTTGCTTAACACCGCCCTTAGCAATATTCCAGCTGCAAATTTAACAAATTCAAAATATCAAATCCAAATTTCTACCTATCAATTGATGTAATGTTTACACAAATGTATGGTGAAATGTCCGGTTATTTTCAATCCCCATCAAGAAGTACAGCAGTTTTAAAGTAAGTGATTGCAAGAAGTACAGCAGTTTTAAAGTAAGTGATTGAGTGAGTTAAAATGTAACGTAGCATCGACATTATTTCAGCCATATAGCGACGATTGCAGTATTACAAGGCAGTATTATTTGAGATGTGACCTTCATCTTAATACTAGTCAAGTATTCACTGAAAGGGAATCAAGCTATGGTTCTCTGTCCTGGCACATGTTTTCTTATGTTCACAGTTAGACAACTGATCGATCTGTAAACGCATAGAGTCCATATCACCATAAGTACATGTAGTATTAATTTTCAATTATCACTTAAATTACATAACCACAATTTCCTTTGACCTGGGGGATAACAAGCACTCACCGCTTCCGTGAGCCCGTATGACTTGGTGGAGGACTTTCCGGAACTGGACTACCTTCGGCGTGTAGGGCTGGAAGATGATGTCGCTCGGCAGAACATATTTTCCGGGGAAAATTGGCGGCCTGTCTGCAAACGCGTCCGCCAGAGCTGGAGAAGTGAAAGCTTCTTTCATCAGATCATAGGAGTCCACGATAACAATGTTCCGACCAAAAATGTTCAGACGGAATATGCCATTAAACCTTTTTCTGAATTTCTCCACACTGTGGTGAAGGCGCACAATTTCAATCTGGTGAACGTTGCCAATGATGGGAAGACCGGAAGGTCCTGGGGGTAGGCTGCCTTGGTTCTTGCTTCTCCCGAAGAGGAATTTCAAAGAAGCCACAAGGACGCATGCAGCAACTCCAACGAGGATCACCTCCATGTCAGCTTCGTTGGGTCAATACTGGAATCTGCAAAGAGAAAGTCGACCACCATAGTTTGTTGTTCAACAACAATAATCCAGCATTGTATATGACGGATACCTATAATTAACGCTGAACCAGACAAATTCAGTGATTGATATTATGAGCAACGATCAGTGTGGACACGATGACACACCTCGTCCCAAGGCTACCCCAACAGCTTACGCCAGCATATGGTTGCTGGGGACAGACAAAACCAGATTTCGCACAAGAGCATCACAACCATATGCAAACCGCCAAGTACCTTGATATATTTTCCTACCTTAGATAATTTTGTTCACGAAAGTCTATGGCACCAGATGATAGAGGAGTGTTAAACGCTTCAAATTGCAGTAAATTGCAGTGACTGTGTTTTGTACATCAACGTAATGTCTTGACAAGTTCCTTTAGCGTGCGATAGTGTTCCTATCTCTAATCAGGAAGTACATGTATTTACAGTATGATAGCCTTCAATTCGACCCGGGCTGTCAGGGTAATATTGATTACTGAGCATAATTTATGTCTGCGAGATTGTGTGAGGTAGTGCCGGGTGTTTTACGCCTTTAATAGCATTATTCCAGCAATATCTGGTATGGTCAGGTATTTATCAAAAGTATACAAGGTAATATCTTAAAATTACGAAATACCAATAAAACATCATGCAACATCTGTGTTAGAATGTTAAACGCAGAACTAACATACTGGCCATGCAGGTTTTCCTCGAAAATGAATTACAAAGTGTCATGCAGTTTCTCCTTGACCTCTCGGTAAACCTTAGGTTTACGCTTCACAAATCAAGTTCAAGAAAAAAGCTGTGTCATATCATAGGTTAAAACTACAATCTCGATATAGGCAGCCTGGAGGTCAAACTCCACTCAAACTCCACGCAAACAACATTCCTGACTTGAATAGAGCCTTATATTTTAGCCTACAAGCCACACGACCCATTATAGTTAAACACTCTGTTAGACCCCATCCGTTGTCGAGTAGCAGAGTGTCCGCCCGGAGAGCGGAAGGTCCTGGGTTCGATCCACGCCGCGTCATACCAAAAGACGTTAAAAGATTGTACTTGTTGTTACCCTGTCTGGCGCTCGGCATTAGGGGGCTAAAACAAGGACTGGTCGGCTCGGAGTCAGTATACTGTGTCTGAGTGGGGTATTCATGTTAAACTGCGGCATGGTATCTCAGTGAGCTATCACTATAAATCGGAATCAGTCCGGACTGGTACAAGCAGACACACACACAGATATCACACACACACACACACACACACACACACACACACACACACACACACACACACACACACACACACACACACACACACACACACACACACACACACACACACACACACACACACACACACACACACGTCGCAATATAAGTGGAATAATATCTTGGACGAGACGGTAAACCCGATTTCACGTCACCTAAACGCCCCGTTACATACCACTGCAGGACACATACCTTTGCCTAGAAATCAAGTTTCATCAAAAGGAGGTAACCTGTGGCGTACAAGGTAGTCGTTGAACGCGTGAGAATCAGGTGAGGTTGCTTTCTGTCACCCGAACAGAAATCAGTCATCCAGTGGCGCGAGGTAACTTACTTTTGAATCGTAGTGTACATATACACAGTGTAGTCACGACGAACACAGCCACAGGGGCCAAAAAACGTTACAATGTGTCACGCTATCTGATATGCAAACACGGACATAAAAGCATAGTGTGCATGTCAATGTCATTTTGGAATCCTATTAATGTCCCCGTTAAAACATGCAATTCCAATTAAAGTCTGCTCGTCCCGTTTATCTCAATAAGGCATATCTTTATTCATAAAACTAAAACACTCAGGATGGACCGTGTCTCGTTTCCACCATGTTCATTTTTATAGTGCTGTTTCCGCATATATGTCTCTCATGGTTTTAAAAAAAGGTCCAGCTTGTATACTGTAGGAGGCGACAAAATGGACCGGATGGTCAAGCTTGCAGACGTCTTTTCATCGTACTGATGGCGTGGAAGGGGCCTCTTAACATCAAATGTAATAGTGAAGTTGTAGCGGCCATAACATTTCCCAGTCCCGTGATGGGATTCGATCCACGGACCTTCTGATCAGAGGTCGGACGCCTTGTCCACATGACCAAAGAGGTTAACCCCGCCAGCAAGCTGACAGGGTAAGGATGTGATCTGTGGGATGACTCCACGCCCCCTGCTACATACTCCCCCATCAACAGAAGGCACGCCCCGGGCCGCATAGTAGGGAACTGAGGCTTATTTTGCTCAAATCTAATATGAACGAGCTCAGCCCCACGTTGGGCGCCAATGTACCGGCCATTAAAATTACCGAGTCCCGTGATGGGATTCGAACCACGGACCTTCTGATCAGAGCAAGCTGACAAGGTAAGGATGTCATCTGTGGGATGACTCCACGCCCTGCTACAAAGTCTTCGGCGTATAAAAACAAGCAAACATACAACATCTCTCAAAAGGGATGTTAAGCAAAGGGAATGGGGGGTTTTCAGTATCTGATTCCGAGTTTGCCTTATAAATTACGCCCAAACACTGACACAGCTTCACATCGTGCCCTATTGAGGATATCAAGTAGACGTCCATTTACTACCACGGGTAATCAAACAGGTACATTCAGTTATGAGTGTCGACACATCACAAATCGTCGAATCTGTTTCTGTTGAAATTTCAAACATGGGATAAAGAAGTTACATTTCCAGAACGCTGACATTGGTTACATTTGTAAGAAAATCATTGAAATGTACATACGTGTGTATAGCTTACCTTTAAAACCCGGCTCACGACAGCCTGTCCTCACCACCAGCACATTGAATGTTGAAGTGGAGATATGAATAATAACGCGTTAGATAGGTAACACTCCTCATAGACCCGGTATTGCTGCTATGCGTGTACGTGTGCGAGTTTGTTGTGATGACAAAAAAAACAACGCGCACAAGTACATGACCTGTGAAGGACAAACGGAGTACTACAAAAATAGCATTTTAGCGCGATTACAACGAGTCGGGTTTCTGACAGCCTGTTCATTCAGAAATGTAGGCCACGACGGGAAGACTTTGAGTTTAATCGGACGGTGTGGTATCTCCACAAAGATTGGTTGTATAGCAGAGGACAAGGTATGTCATTATTTTCAAATGGGTTGAGCAGCGGATGTTTTCTATGAATAACATAGACTCAAACTGGGCAGGTCCCTTTCACAATGGCTTTACATTACCGGTAGTGTTAATTCACCTCGAACATTTTTTCACATGGAAAGACTCATTGTCATGTTGATGTGAATTATGTTATGTCTACAGCTATTAAAGAAATAATTTTAATAATATCTATCCACAGAATGTTATACGCCCCAAACGCTTACCAAGGGACTCAGGGTGGGAATATCCTCTGCAATTCAACCCATGCTTGTTGCAAGAAGCTAAAAAGTGGATCGGGTGGTCCAGCTCTGTGAATTGGTTGATTGCATATCATCTTACCCCGACGACGTGGTACGGTGCTCATAATATCTATCACCGGTTTGTCAGGTCAAGACGGCGGAGTGTTAACCGGTTGTACGTACTCTGGCTTGCATACTTCTGGCTTGAATAAACTTATCTCAGCATATTAGTAGCAAAGCTGGAAATTAAACTTTCAGGGCAATCGCACCTGATAGGAGGGCACTGTTCCCGAGACGTCTGATTCGCTGTGCAGGGCTACGGCCCTTAGGCGTAAGAGAATCCTACGATCATGGGGTCGAAAACCCTAATTATTATCCTTGGTTTGTCAGCAGAAGAGCATATCGCCAGGCACCCACACGCTTTTCCTCTTATGTTACGCATGACACATCGCGATATACAGTGACTGGAATACTGAACAATGTCGCGTTGACCTGTCTGGCTCGCGGTGAAGGTACATGATCACAGTAGGTGGGGTGATATATGGCGATGTATGGATACTCGTGTTGGGACTTATCGCGCAGGCGCTTTAACACGGCTACCCACTGGTTAATTTGACACATGCCAGGTGTAAAGGAAACCAGTTCACATAAAAAGATCTTAGTGATATCACAGTCATAAGAGGTTACTTTAGTCTATATTTTTCACTTTATAGCCAAGTATACGGGGGCCGACTTTTTATATGTGTTTTTGCCTCCGGTTGCACAAAAATGGGGTTTCCCGCAGCAAAATACGATAGAAGTAGGTTAAACTTGGGTTTAACGTCCCTTCAGTAATCTTATAGATAACCCGCAGCGTGTCCGCTACGTGTGTGGTGGTGGGGATGGGGGTTGGGTGGGGGGTGATGGAAGGGGGTGAACGTCAAACAGGCCCTGAGGTAGTCACAGTCGTGAAAACCACAGGCTGACAGTGCAAGGATCATGTTCGGACTGGGATTCGAACCCAGGTTCCTCTGATCCAGATGCTTCAGACCGTTATGAACACATGTTCTCCACTATAAGAGACTTCATGGATGTCAACCTCTTTATTATGAGATTTATTCTACACAATGTCATCGATAAATTCTCTCTCTAATGTGTGTCACTTCTAAATGCCATTTGGGGCGGTCGGGTATCCTAGTGGTTAAAGCGTTCGCTCGTCATGCCGAAAACCCGGGTTCGATTCCCGACATGGGTACAATGTGTGAAGCCCATTTCTGGTGTCCCCCGCCGTGATATTGCTTGAATATTGCTAAAAGCGGCGTAAAACCATACTCACTCACTCACTCTAAATGCCATTCAAAGACTTGATTCGCAGATTGTCATCATCATGTAAGGGGCGGTGGATAAGGCGTTCGCTCGTCACGTGCGATTCCCCACATGTGTGAAGCTCATTTTGGGGTGTCCGACTGACTATCATTTACACATTCCGTTCTGGTTGAAATCTAGTGTCAATCGTGGGGTTCAGGATTAGGAGTGGCCCACAACACCATATGCTGGTTGTCATGGGCGACTGTTTTTGTCGGATGGAACTTTTAACGCGTTACACATAAGAGTGAGTGAGTGAGTTGGGTTTAACGCCGCTTTTAACAGTATTCTAGTTGTCAGCGGCGTGTCAGCTTAATGTGGGAGGAAAGCCCGACGTGATGCAGGTCTCAGACGTTTACCACTTCGGTGAAACCCACGAGCAAGGGTATGGTGCTGACAAATATAGAAACATAATCGGGGCGAACCGGGATTCGAACCCCCAATCATAGGTTTCTGGCGTGCCCAGGGGACGCAGCTCTGCACAGCGATACACATAAGAGAAATCACGGATTGGAGGGGGACAAGCGATATACATTTAATACGGACAAGCTGTGAACATTTCATAGGAACAAGCTGTGAGAAACCAAACAATCGAATTTTGTAGAATCATTACGATATTGCAATCAAATCCGCCAATACGATAGAGAGAAATATGTCTTTTAAAAGTATCGCCGGTAATGTAAACATTACTCTTAACCTAGTGGATGAAGCGTCTACAAGGAGAGCGGAAGGTTGGTGGTTCGATCCCCAGCTGCATCACACACACACACACACACACACACACACACACACACACACACACACACACACACACACACACACACACACACACACACACACACACACACACACACACACACACACACACTCATTTTGACAGGTACACTACGGTCAGCGTGAACACAACTTCTGTGTTATTGATTACAAACGAACATGTATGATTTTGCGAATTTTATGAAACTGAAATTAAAGAGATCAATTGGCAGTTCCTGCAAATCTAATTCAATCCATATATATATATATATATATATATATATATATATATATATATATATATATATATAGCTAGCATTATCCTAATAAAACCTCTCACACACATATATATACATAAGTTTTATTACATACATGAATGCCCCGCGCCATCCAAGTGCACTAATCTTGAACGCGGCGTTAGACCCAATTTCACCCCTCCTTATTGACCTTGCCAGATTCATTGTCACGTATGCAACCAAGATTTAATACTAACTATAAATCACGCATTTTAGCTGTTGAGGGTCAAGTTTACACATTTATAGTCTGTATGCTACTCACAGCAATATTCGAGATATGTAAAGGCGATGCTATGGATAATAAATGCCATTGAAAATAGTATTCAAGTTCATCAAAACCGTAGTCAATCATGTTTCTAACGATCAATGATTTTGTTTCATTATTATTAAATATAGACCCAGTTAACCCAGATATTCGTGACAGCCTCGGAACAATAACCGTAGCATTGTGGTTTTCCGAGGTAAAAGCAAGTTACATATTTTTCATATTTATAATTTATTCTGCAACGAAAATATAATATTCATATTCTCTGGAAAAAGAATTTCACGACTCAGAATGACACTCACGAATTATTGTAAAGTCACATTGCTGACGCCACACGCTGGGGGGAGGGGGGGGGGGAGCGGATGAGGATGAGCACATCCTGCCCCAGCGGTTGCATCCGTCGCCTTTAAAGGTTGAGATCGCTATGCAGTTGACCTTTGTAGATACTTCACATATACACCAGCTCGTATACTTACCACTGTCGCTGTAAGATCCAAACAGCTGAAAAATCTGTTTGAAATGACACTCTTACCAAGAAACCTCAACATGTCAGCCTGTTGTTTGAGCCATACAGCTGGAATATTGCGAACTGTGACATTAAAAAAACCTATATGTAACATCACGGACGTATATACATCTTTGGTGTCAGCAATGCGCAGCAGTTTGGCTATTTCAGACTGATGGTGAACTAGACGTATCGGTTACCGTATTCTCAGATCCATTAACTTTTTTTTCATGATCATCAGCTGGTGTGCTGTCACTGCAATACAAGGGCTACCTATTCGGCCCCGTTATAAACATTTGTCAATGTGTTGTAGGATTTACAACTAACCACATCTCCGATTGGCAAATTACAAATCATAACAATATTAATTATTTTAAAACATATATACCTTTCTTTTCCTTGAACACTCAATTCCAAATCCGTAAATCTTTTAGGATTCCAGATAAAAAACGACAACCATGGTCCACGGTATCCGTAGTCTGACAAGAGCTTGCTCTGCGTTCGATATAAAACGAGCAGCTGTTGCCGTAATGTGTGGAAATAGGATGGTTCCATTTGTCTGCACGTCTGTTGCCCGTGGTTGTTTAGTTAATGCATCCGTAGCTCGATCATGTTGATCCTGCTAAGCTGGTAATTATGGGAACTTGGTATATTTTACTCGTAGGATTTAAGCTTGTTCATTGTTGTACCCACAGTCTGTTCGCGCTTGCTCATATAGATCTATATCTAGATCTGCGAGTATCTAATAAAGCAGAACGCATCTCATTCGAGGGAAGGACAAGGATCCTTGAAGTTGAAAATTATTTTTTTTAAATTATCGTATAAGGTTTTTTGTTGTCTCGAAGTTAAATTGAGGAAAATGTTTTTTGATAAAGGTTCAGAAATCAATTGTGCTACTGTGGTTCATTTAGGTGAGGTGAGGTGAAATTGGGTTTAACGTTGCGTCCAAGATTATTGCACTTATATAGCGACGTGCATGCACGTGTATGTGTGTGTGTGGCTGCTTGTACCAGTCCGGACTGATGCCGATTTATAGTGCTAGCTCACTGAGATACCATGCCGCAGTTTAACATGAATACCCCACTCAGACACAGTATACTGACTCCGAGCCGACCAGTCCTTGTTTTAGCCCCTGAATGCCGAGCGTCAGACAGGGTAACAACAAGTACAATCTTTTAACGTCTTTTTGTATGACGCGGCCCGGGATCAAACCCTGGACCTTCCGCTCTCCGGGCGGACGCTCTACCACAAGACCACGGAGGCGGTCGGTTCATTTAGAGGTGAGATGAATAACTATACACACCGGGACAAATGTAAGACAGTCCCTCGTTTTTATTTATCCGTTGGACATATCTGCATACCACATTGATCTCATTTCTATAAAGGGGGCACGGGTGGCCCAGTCGTCTAAGGCGCCGCGATTCGCTGTGCAGAGTTGCGCCCCTTGGGCACGCCAGAAACCTATGATTGAGGGTTCGAATCCCGGTTCGCCCCGATTATGTTTCTAGGTTTGTCAGCACCATACCCGTGCTCGTGGGTTTCACCGAAGTGGTAAACGTCTGAGACCTGCATCATTTCGGGCTTTCCTCCCACATTAAGCTGACACACCGCGATATAACTGGAATACTGTAAAAAGCGGCGTTAAACCCAACTCACTCACTCATTTCTATAAATGTGTGAAAGAAGATGGATTCCTGCTGAAAAGTTAAGAAAGATATGTGTTCCTTCAGGTGACCCTAGTCAAGATCAAGGTAAGCATTGGTCTTCAGTAACCCATACGTAAGAAGCGATTAACGGGATTGGGTGGTCAGGCTCGGGGGCTTGGTTGATGCATGTCATCGTATCCAAATTACGTGGATTGATGCTAATCATGTCAGTCACGAGATTGTCTGGTCCGGACTCAATTATTTACAGACCACCGTCATATGGCTTGAATATTGCTGAGTGCGGCGTTGAACAACAAACAAAAATAACGAATTCTTCAGACAATAGTTGGTGCTTGGCCATCCCATATGAAACAGAGCAAGCAACAAGAACGGTGGTCAAACAGCTATAGCCTTGGAACAGATACAAGATCGTTCAATATATACTAGTAATGGCTTTTGAATTCTGCATTGCAATATGGGTAGATCACGGTGTAAACATGATGGATAAGACAATTAATAGTGGATACGGTAAATTGTCTATTTTCAGTGTTCGTAATACCTGCCTGCCCGACCGTCCGAGACGGGTTGATTTCAACTCGGGCTGCCAGATTTTCAAATCCCACTGCCCGACGGTCGGGTTATATTTCATATGTGAAAATATTCTAAATATTTCCCGATGACAACCATTAATTCACATGTAAAGAAAATGATAAAATGTAACCAAAAAGAAACCCCGTTAGCTTGTCCTGAAAAACATATGATTATAGTGGGCAGGCAGGTTTTGGTCAGGGCTGGCAAGTATTTCAGCAAACCAGTACTGTGGTCTGGCTGAAATTTTTGGGAGTTTCATACCCTGCTATTTTACATGAAAATATCTGTAATCGGTGCCTGGCGTTCTTCCGAGGATATATACAGGCTATGGATAACAGGAGAAAACTTAATGTGTTGGGAGATGAGGCTATCAGTAGAATACTACTCGTGATATAAAATTCTGACGTACTTTTTGAATTCAAACCATGCAATGACATCATTAAACAATAAACGTCGTCATATGTGTATCATGTATGTATGAAAAGCAGTTGACGTGGGCAAGAAAGTTTATATACCAATTCCTGAAAATAATAAGCTTTTAATAGACCTTGTCTGAAATAGAGTTTATAAATAAAATCAAAATACCGTAATTGCATCACCTAACTTTGAAGTAAGTCAAACGTGTTAATGCTCTCACACCAGCTCCTCTCAACGCGGTTTTTGGCAACTGAGTGTAAATATCCCCACTGTTCTGTTGTTATTATTTTATTTCTACCGCGGGCAATATTGGCTCAGCTGGGCGTGATTGTGCACCTGCTGATTTGGGGTTGTTTGTAATACCTCTGAAGTTGAAGAGCTGTTGAAGAGTTGTGCTGCACTATGTAAGCCTTCGTCCTTTGCTTTGGATCCTCCCTTCTGAGCGATCGGGGTTAAGGGGAGCATAGTACCCCAGTCGTCTTGGACGCCCATATGCGCTGTGCAGAGTTGCGTCCCTTGGACACGTCAGGAACCTATTTCCGTGAGTTCGATCCTGGTTTGCCCCGAAATTAAAGGTTTGTCATATCATACCCGTGCTTGTGGATTTCACCAAAGAGGTAAACGTCTGAGACCTGCATTTCGGGTTTTGTTCCCACATTAAGCTGACACGCCGTTGTATAACTTGCTCACTCTCAGGAATTGGCGTTTTATGGTGTGATGAGGAGAGGGCAGGGATGTTTTCGTGAATATCCTTTTAGTCAGAACAGCATATGTACCTATCCACACCACATTATTTTTCAGAATATTCATCATTTCACACAAAAACTCCAATTCATCCACCCCTTATATTTCAAATTGGTGGTCGCTTAGTGGTCACAGCCACCCAATTGTCCAAAATTAATATTTGCTGTTCAAGTTGCACTCAGGTTGTGGGTTCGAATCCGCCCTCATTATGATCCCTCGTCGTGTCACTAAGAGGTAAACAAGGGCATTTCTTCCAGTCAACTGTTAGTGCCAAAGTATTGCAAAAACATAGCAGTAAGGGACTGTAGCTCACCTGGATATGTAGCTTTAAATGTCAGCAAAGATTGTCAATTAGCATTGCTATTCTAATGCCCTTTTCATAAATGCTGATGTAACAGTAAATTCTATAGATTTTCACAAACTATAATGTCATCAAAAGAAGAAATAAAGATTAACAATTTCAGCTTTCTTAACATTGTACATTTTTTTAATAACGCAAAAAAACGGAATATATTTGTTGCAAATACCAAGTTTCATTATGAGTGAGTGAGTATGGTTTCACGCCGCTTTTAGCAATATTCCAGCAATATCACGGCGGGGCTCCAGAAATGGGCTCCACACATTGTACCCATGTGGGGAATCGAACCCGGGTATTCGTCTTAACCACAAGGCTACCCCACCGACGTGTTTCATTATGAACAAAACTGGCAGTGGACAAACATATATTTATTTAAATATGTCTGTCATGAACTCAAAGGTCTTGACGGAATTCATGTGTCATCATGTGCAAGATGAAGCATGTCACGTTTCAGATTCATTCGTCCGGACATGCAGGGTCAGGCATCAGTTCGAGTGACACTTTCAGTCAGGTGTGCTGATAAACCTTGAAGTTAGGGGTGCACGACGTATTACCTCCCCTTAGACCACAGGATTCGGAGTCCTGACACATGTCTTGTATACAACACAGGCTCGTTTTCTGAAAAGTCTGATTCAATATTCATATTTCACCTTTAGTTGAAACATATGAATCATTTAGTATGCTTAAAGGGATACCAGAATTTCATTGTATAGACTACCAATCTCATAACAATCAGATCTTTATAGATCAGATACAATCAGACACGATAACTCCAGGCATGAAGATCTAAGAACCCCTCTGTAGTAGCCAATCAGCGTCAAGCCTTTAAGTTCTGGTTCGAGTCGGCAAAGCATTCAGTCAAGCCTATCTGATTTCTGCATCTCGAAAGTTTATATAATCTGGGAGTTCCAAATACAACAGACATAAAGCCGGTCTACTATATTGTTCTGGATATCTAATACGCCCTGTCGTTCCCGGGTGCAATGACGTCAACGCCCAAAGGGTGTACTATCAAGTGCATATTTATTTTCTGTGTCGGTCTTCTTTTGCTGAGATCGATATTTCCTAATTAATGTTCTAACAAAATGAAGGCGAAAGGTTTTCAGAAATCAGATTGGCTCAAAAACAATTGCAACATATATTTATAATTACATAGATTGGACAAACACAATCAGATTTCACCTGACGCGACCTTCCATGGAGGTGTAACAGCGTAAAAGACCCAATTGTGTAGGCTACATGTCTTGGTTAGCATGTAGAGTTACTGACTATCTACACAATCACACACGTTCATTTAAGCGAGGGAGTAGTAATAGCTAACTGAGTTATATTCAATCGTCGTTACGTTCTGCACACAAGCTAACTTAGAAGTGAATCATGAAATCTGTCCAGAAATTGCACGTTTTCAGAAGTCAGTTTTCATTTCCTCCGGAGCCGTATCTTATACGCTGGTGTTTTCAGAACAATCCCCTGCCCATAGAGCTGTGGATCGGGAGGAGGGAGAGCTGATGCCTCATCCTCTACGATGTCGAAATTCTGCAAGATATTGGCCACACAAAGGAAGGTACGGAGACGCGATAAACTCTCTCCAGGGCACATCCTCTTTCCCAGGCCGAAAGGAATAACACTGCAATAAAAGTGTCTGGTCGTTCAATACAAATTCCTGTCCAATGGATCAATAGAGGTAGCTCATGATCTCATTAAAATTGCATCTTCTATTCCGATACAATTCCTCTCTTTGAGAAGATCCATGGGAGGTTGTGTCAGCTAAACCCTAAAGCACCTAATTCCTCGGTACAGTGATTGAATGAAGCATTCTGGCCGGTAAATCAGATTTCTGTTGCTCGTTTTAGAAAGCTGACATTCACGAAGTTAAACACAGGTTGACTTCATTCTGACTGTGTGACTTTCTTGTGGGGGTGATGAAGTCAGATCTTCACGCAAAGAGGTACCGTATGGGAGTAAAGAACCTGAGTTTAATGAAATGAAATGGCTCATGTTTGGATATTGTTTTATCTAAGAAATCTACCCTAAACACTTTTTTTCCATCAAATTGCACTTTCGACTATAGAAAGTACAATACAGTTTTCTTATGATTATGAAAATGGTTGAGTCGCTGTTGTTAAGTGTACTGATTATCCCAAAGCTGTTAAATATATGCGTTCACATCAACGAATGTCATTGGTCAAACTGATTTTCTGGTTATTCAGAGCTAAGCTTGCGTGAATGACTGCAAACATTACCTACATGTCAATGCTTTTAATGCCTGACAATATTATTCAACAGCGGCGCGGCTCAGAGTTGCTGAGAAGTAGTTTAGTGAGTACTTAGTACAGTACAAAGTAAACATGGTTGAAGCGTACTCAATAGCTGACTTCGGAAGCAATGTGAGGTAAGTGTTATCAATGTAAACCCCCGTGGGGTTATGTCCCTGTGCTGGTGGAAAGAGGCGACTCGACTGAACGGGTGGTGGGGTTCAGTGGCCTGGTTAATATGTTGCATCTGGACCCTGGTGGTAGTGAAAGTTGATCATAATATCCTTCACTGGGTTGTCTGTTCAAGACTTCATTGTACGATTCCGACCACAACGTAAGCATGTGTTTATGAATCATTGGCAAATAGTGCTGATACTAGAGGTTCGCGGGTAGCCTGTCCCACCTGTCCCACCCGTGCCACCCGTCACAAACACGTGCACATTCAAGTCGATGTGGCACCTGAACAAACACGCGAACATCTGGTGCCAGTAAGTGAGTTGGGTTTAACGCCGCTTTGAACACTACTATTCGGTATTTATCACAGAGTCTCAGCTTCAAAGGCCCGAGATAATGCAGGTCCTAACTTTGGTGACACCCACAAACATGGGTATGGTGCTGCCAAACCAAGAAATATAACCTGGCGTACAGGAATTTGAACCACAATCACTGGTGTCTGGCGTGCCCAAGGGGCGCAACTCTGCACAGCTAATTGCGGTGCCTAAGACGACACGGCCAGCCGTGCCCCTCAACAAATGATTCATGTCAAACTAGGTAGGTGTCATCAGACATCATTTTGTGTCACTGATCATGTAGCGCCAATTTTGAAACTGTCCTGCACATATCTACCATAAAACTTTATGAAAGCTTTACAAGGTAATTAAGAATACGGTTTAAAGTAAAACATATATAAATAACAATATTGCAATAAAAGCACGTTATTTCAACACTACAAGAATGGACAACTACGTGTTTTCACAATTTTCGATACAGGCTAATTTCCAATTAGAGTTAACAGACTTGTTTCCTTATGATACAAAAGCATCCCTTGTGATTGCAAAGTCGTAGCAGTCAGGCAAACCATGCTTGACAGTGAACATTTCATCACTATTGGTACATTCAGTGGGTTCGTACTCGACAGGTTGTTTGGAGATATTCATGGGTAAAGCCACTGTGGCGAAATGACCTCATCATGTCTTGGCTGACAACTCAAGTAGATGTGACCAATTGTTAGTTTAGTTTCATAAAGTATAGTGATGCCAAGCCGGGTGTCTCACCTTTGTTGCATACGATCCCGAATATATCATTTTATTATTGCTTTGAGATCATTATATGGGACAAGTGGTACAGATAGTGGCTTGTCCAGAGCTCCGTCCTTTGAGGTACCTGCTATGCAAAAATGGCTGTGCAACCAACAAAAACAAGTTCACATTAGCCAGTAGAATCGTTATGTCGTTCAAAGATCTCAAGCACTTCTACATGAATGGCGGAAACGCTTTAAATACCTGAAGGCAAAGGAAAAGATTCTGAAAATATGATAAAAACAAAGCTGTTAAAATAGCGTAGGCCACCGCAGTGACAATTGAGTTCTTGTCTGCGATCCTGGACGAAAAGGTTTAAGATCCAGTGACACTATCAGCTCTTTGGTACAATCCTTGGAGATGTCAAAAATGGATCTGTGAGAAACATATTTTAATCTTAGTTGATTATCAACGACAAGTGCCATCTTTTAACGTCTTTTGGTATGACGCGACCTTGGATCGAACCCCGGACCCGTCTTTTGGAATGACGCGACCTAGTATCGAACCCCGGACCTTCCTGTCTCTCTGGGCGGACACTCTACCACACGACCACGGACACGGTTTTCGTTGTGATGCAAGCTTGGGTTTACTATGATACAGTTCTCCAAAGAGAAGATTAAATCATATGCTTGGTTCGACTGATTATTAAACAGTTTAGTGGTACATCAACAACTGAGATCCTAAATGCTCCAAGAAAGAGTCTCATGACTTGATGTACTGAGTCCAATATTTCTACAACTATAGCAGGCTCCAACCGTAAACAATGGAGCCATAATAGGAACGAATAAGTTATCTGTACAAGTGAAAAGATTTTTTTATCCCCCTCCCTACTTTTAAAGAAATGATTTTGAACAAGTACACAATGAGGGATAGGTGTGGCGAAATCAGTTTAACGTCGCGTTCAAGATTATTAATCAGTTTATCCATATATAACTGTAAGGCCACAGCCCATAGTACAGAATACATGACAATGTGGAAGCGGTTAGAAGTGTTACAAGGATTCATTTCTTAATAACACGGCATGATATATAAAGAGAGAGATTGTGTATAGCCGTTTTGCTCACATGTGATATTAAAGAGATAAACTTGTATTTATTTGGATGTGAATAATATTTTTGTACAATATATTTTTTCCTTAAATTATCATATTTACAACATACAAGTAGAAAATGAAATTCATCTTCGACAATATTTAAAGAACATTGTCTACATAATCTTAAACATTTGTGTATTTTTGGTGCCTGCCAACTTCAACTATTAACCTGTGTGAGCTGCATCTAAATTGTGTTAATGGTATTCTGCATTTTCTTATATTTACATCAGTTAATTATTTTCTGCGCATATTTGCAGTTTAAAATATCTATAATATTCGCATTTGTTAGAAACATCTACAGTAGATCTCCATGTTTGAAAGTACATGTCAAAAAGCGTCTGCCTTATTTTCGATATGTACATGGCATGATTCTCTAAGAAAAATTGGTTGTCCTTGATGTAACCATACCCACATTTATACAGAAGACATTTAACATTGTATGCCCAATTTTGATCTCCATTCTTTCATAAAATAGCATCATATTATAACATTGTTTGGGAATCTACTTAAGTAAGAAGGTATCCATTATTGTATTAAATAAAATACGACAGGGTATTATCAAGAGAGTATTTAAAGAATTCTGTTAAAAAGTCTATCAAATCCAGGGCTTTTCAAGTTTTTCAGATTTTGAATAGCAGATTTAATTTCTTCTTTTGAGATTGGGGAATCTAATATTCCTGTTGCTTCTATCCATGAAATTTTGTTTCTTTTTTTCTGCAAGTAGCTTTATACTTATTTTTCGAATCAGTGTACTTAGCAAGTGAGTCTTTATCTTTTAATTTCCTGAAATGGTTTAAAAGAGTGCATCTTTCCTTCTTTAACAACTCACATTCCCAGTCAAACCACTGTTTACGTTCTCTGTTAAGGGTTACTTCCCTTTTCATTACATTCCCTGTATGCAATAGCTTCTGTAAATAACGATACACTTTCATCAATGTTGGTAAAAACAGAATCAAAAGCTTTTCTTAAGAGGCATGCAAAAGTGTCTGATAACAGTCGTTCTTGGAAAATATCTGCTTTGCTGTTATCCCACTTAAACATTGAATGACTATGGTAGGCGTTATCAAATGATGGTTTTCCACATGAATGAAGCGCTCGTAAAGACATTGTGATAGGCAGGTGCTGTGATTCGTGGCGTGACTCAATATCAAAATTTTGGCACAAGTCAAATATATCTATGTTGCTAATAATGTAATCGATAACACTTGCCCCGGCAATGCCAACAAATGTAAAATCACCTTTCTCGGAATCACTTTCACAGCGGCCATTCATAATGTGTACATTTAAAACAGCAAATAAATTGATAAAACATTTTCCAAAGTTATTAAGAACAGAATCGCTTTAATATCTACACTGATTAAACCTGTCTAAGAGAAAGTCCCAGTATGAAGTATCCTGGCCATGGAGATATTCAAGTATATCATCCTCTACAAAATCTCTTTGCCAATTCTTGCATTAAAGTCACCCCCTAAAATGCACGAAACGTCACCAACATCACCTAGGATGTCAAGCAGTTCATCCTGAAATAGCAATATACCGTTTTAGATACAACATTTCTGTCGTACCATGTAGATCCTTCTGGGTGAATATACACACAGCAGTATATTACGTGTTTTTCAAGTCCAAACAGTTACCTGTCAAGTAATAGATATACACCATTTTCTGTGATCCATGAGTTTGTAAGATTCTTTTTTACGTGAACAAAAAATCCACCTGAAGGTCTTCAATAATTTGCTATCTTGGCTGCTGCCTTAATGAAGTTGGTATATTCGCAGAACGTATCATCAAAATTCAGTTTCTGGGTCCATGTCTCTGTCAAACCAATTATGTCAAATGTTTTCAAAAATGATAGACACTCACAGTCTGATATCTTTCGGGGCAATCCTGATATATTCCAAAATTACAAGTAGGTTCAGACGACGTCCCCTGTATATCCGGGCCCTGGCCACACCCCTATCTCTTCTGTGTCGGTCTCCCACCCCTGCCTGCATTACCTCTGTCGGCCCGACGTGGGTTGCTTCCGTCACGTGACTCGAGTCACTCAGGTCGAATCACCTCTGTATTTGCACGTGAAGCGTACGTATCACGTACAGGAGCAGACGACAGTTTACCACCTTTATAGAAATCATGTTTGCTTGGGTCTTGTTCTTTGCATTGTTTTATTTCTTGTCTCTGGTCCATCGTCAGGTCGTTTGCTATACCGTAGCCTCTGGACTTAAGACAACCTCTCTCTCTTAAGATTATTACACTTTCAATGCGACGGCCTTGCACATTTGTGTGGTTGCTTGTACTAGACCGCACATGTTTTAGTGTTAGCCATTTTTCATAATGCCTGCCCACTGAGACACAATGCTTCGGTTTAACATGGATACCCCACTCAGACACAGCTCACTGACTTCGAGTCGACTCGTGCCTTCATCCCCTTAACACCGAACTCCAAGGCAGGGTAACAACAAGTACCATCTTTCAACGTGTTTTGATTTGAAGCGGTCAAACCGTCCTGGCGCTCTCGGGGCAGCTTGTCTATCCATTTAAACACGGAGGCGGTCTTACATAATGAAGACATGACTATCTTATAAATTCAGCATACGTTTCGTAAAACGGGATCTCAGTTAGACTGACGGCATCACGATCAA